AAATTCCTATGGCATTCCAGTTTCAATTTTTTTTTTTTTTTTGGGTCTGGTCATGGGGCCTGAACTCTGGGCCTGGGCGCTGTCCCTCAGCTCTTCAACTCAAGGCTAGCGCTCTACCACTTGAGCCACAGCACCACTTCCGGCTTTTTTCTTTTGCTTATGTGGTGCTGAGGAATCGAACCCAGGGTCTCAGGCATACAAGGCAAGCGCTCTACCACTGAGCCACCTTCTCAGCCCCCAGTTTCAACATTTTAACACAAGAAGCCCTGAATACTAAACTGAAGCTCTCCATTGTTACCACAATGGATGACTATTCCAAGTTCTGATTAAAACTGAATCTTTGGATGTTTCTTCCTATACTTCTGTTGGTTCAGAAGCCTTTGAAGATTCACATAATTAACTAGGCACTAGTGGCTCATGCCTGCAATCGTAGCTCTATGGGAGGCTGAAATCTGAGGGCTGTGGTTTGAAGCCAGCCCAGGCAGGAAAGTCCATGAGATTCTTGAATTCCAATAAACCACTGGAAAACCAGATGTAGAGCTGTGGCTTAAAGTGGTAGAGCACTAGCTTTGAATAAAAAAGCTCAGGGACAGTGCCAAGGCTCTGAGTTCAAGCCCCATGACTGAGGGTACAAAGAGATTCACATAATCAATCTTTCAAGGAAAGTTCACATTGGAGAAATTTCTATTGTAAATCTACCTGTAATAGAATTTCCCTTCTATGACAGAGTGACAGCCTTATGAAACATACCAAAGAACTTTTATTCTAGATTTAGTCAAAATGAGGCCATTTTTTGATCTCTCTCTGAGTGGCTGAACTAAGGATTTCATTTTTCAGTGCTAGGCAAACACTCTACCAACTGAGCTACCTTGCCAGCCCCAGTTTCCTTGTTGGTGTGGGCTGGGGATTGAACACAGGGTCTTGGCCATGCTGGGCAAGTGCTCTGCTAGTTTTCTATAGACATAGCCACAGACCTCTAGGATTTTCATCAGAGTTTTTGGGGGGTTTTTTTTGGTGCTTGTCCTGGGGCTTGAACTCAGCCTGGGCCTTGTCTCTGAGCTTCTTTGCTCAAGGACGGTGCTCTACAACTTGAGCAACAGTTTTACTTCCAGCTTTTTGTTGGTTAATTGGAGATGAGAGTTTCATGAACTTTCATGCCTAGGCTGCCTTTGAACCATGATCCTTAGATCTCAGTGTCCTGGATAGGCACGAGCCACCAGTACCTGGCTCAAAGTTCTTTTATGAAATTAATATTGATGACTATTAAAATAAATAATATTTTCTGGTGTCATTTCAAATCACCTTAATATTTAAACTTTCTTATCAGAAAAGTACATATTTCTTTTTAAAAATCAAGAATGCTAAGATTTAATAAATCAGGAAATAAAAATGTTTTGAGTGTATAACTTAATATCAATAAAGAATCTTATTACTATAAATAGTTTTCATTACTTACTTCCTTTGGTACAGATAGGAATGTTATATGATCCCTAAAAATAGAACATATGAGAGGAAGTGAAATTTTCATTTAGGAGTCTGATCCAGATATAGAAAATATATAGCTTCTCAATTAAATGTAATTTAGATATATGAAAAAGAAGGCTGAATATGTGATGAATATATGTAATATATGATGAATAGGTAATTTCCCTATGTGGCTTATGGAAACAAATTTCACTACTTTAAAAGCCCACTGTGTATTTCTGTTAATTTTTCAGATCTAAAAAGCATACATGTAAGTGAACATAAAGCATAGTGCTAAGTTGAGAGTAGATTGGGGAGAGAAGGGAAGATTCCAACAGTACCATGAGAAATCACGGCCTACAGGAGGAGCAGGGTAGGCTGGGTGTAAGAGAATCCAGAAAGGCTTTCCAGCAAGATGGAGTCCAAGGTCAGAGCAAGATTTCTATAGTTGAGCATAAGGAAATCTTCTTCTCCATTTTGCTTTAAAATGGTCTCCTTCTCCTTCTTGAAACTCTATTTCCTGGATCCTGTCTTATTTCTTTGATCATCTTTGTGGTTTCTGTAGTTTCAGCTGTTATACAAAGTGATTCTGTCCAAAAGATGTTAGAGTAGTAAGTGTGGTATCAAGTGTTAAGAAAAAGGTAGATCAGTGGTCGCAAGAGGGAAGATAGATGGAGACAGACATTGCTAAGTAGTGTTAGATGTATAGGATGATAAGTGAGGGGAAATTGTCAGAGAGGGAGAGTTGAGGAAGAACTCTGAAAAACAGGACTCTGATTGTACCTAAGTCATATCATGGTAGTGACAGCAGAGAGGGAGATGGTAGTTGACTGGAGATAGTCATGGTCATTGTATTCCTGTTTCAGTACATTAAATTTTAAGTATTGGCAATCTACCGAGTAGAACTATCTTGCAAGTAGCTGAACTTCAAGGTATGAAAATCCATTGGTTTCTAGCAGAAGAGACATTACTAAAATGACCCTGATGGGAAAATAGATTTCTACTTCTTTGCTTTAAGACTGTCTGGGTTCCTAACTTATCTAGAAATTGATTTGAACAACATACTCTCTACATCACTGTTTCAATATGTCTTCCAATATTATTCTTTTACTTGGCAGTGTGACATGGGAGAAAAGACAGCTTTGGAACCAGACCCTGGTTCAAATCCCAGACCTTTCTTTTACATACTGTAGCCATAGCTAGGTCATTTATTATGTTGAGCTTTTTATTTCCCTCGACTGCAGATAGTAATTGTAGAGAGGGGAGGATGAGGTAAATTAGAATGTTGTAGCACAACATTCTGCCCCTATGGAATATCAACTCATTTGGTGGGTATTAGTATCACTGAAACTGATTAATGACATAGTTTATCCTTTCATTGGGGCAATTTCCAGTGGCTCCTAAAGAGACAAGAGCCAGTTCCCAAAGTTCTTCCAAGTGTTTTTAGGTGGAACTATGCCATTAGCCTGAAGCTAAGTTAAGTGGGGGGTGTGCGGGCCCAAGCATTACCAGCAGAGTTTGGAAAACAAATCCCTGATTCAAGCAGATGAACCCATTTTAAGAGCCAGAATACTGCACTTTTGTTAGATTTAGAAACTTTTTTAAAGTACTAAGGGTTTTGTTTGGAAGTCCAACCAGAAGAAAACAAGAGGTCCTTGTTTATCTGGTTTGCTTGTTATTGTAAGCCAAATGTCCACAGCAGTGCATTGCATGTAGAAGGTAAATAATAAAATAATGAATAAATAAATGAGATAGTGACGTGTATCTTATATGTGTTCTAACATGGTGCTGAGTAAACAGGAGACCCTTAATGAATACTTGGACTGGTGAATATGTGGGTTTATACCCCAGTTTGTCAGAGGTTTTTCATGAGGTACCAGAATTGAAACCATCATCCCATACATGAGTTTGATATACTATCATCGTTCTCTCTTTTCAAACTTATCTAGTCATTTATTTCTCTCCTCAAAACAGGTAGGTATTGTCTTGGAAGTGAGTCAGGAAAGTAAAATGAAAGGAGATTTGTTTTTAAGTTGGAGTTAAAAATTGTGTGTAACATTGATTTGAATACATTGGATAGAATAAAGAGAAAAACATTATTTTTAGAAGATGGAGACTCACAAGGCATAGATATATAGAGTGTGTTCAACGAATTTGTTTATACACTGAATCTTTCCCTTCAGCACTCCAAGTTTGTGTAACTCTGGTTCTGAGAGAACAGCAGAATTCCTCCCCTATCAGCAGACATGAAGGCTCAGTAATGTTATAATGATCTTTTTTATCCAGTTGGAGGGTGAATCTGGGTTGAAACCTCAGTTTTAGCAGTAAGAACAATCCCAGAAGTGGAAAGTAAGGCAGCTTATTGGAAGAATGTGAAGAGGGCAGTGTGGTTAAAATGAAGGGTATATGGGGAAAAAATCATTGGAAATCAGACTAAATAAGTGAGAGAGATTACAGAGTGCTTTAACTAATTTAGATTGTGATCTATAGTAATCATATTGAAATCATGTTTAAAAATAATAAACTTTAATAAGCTCTCTGACAAAAGCTAATGTGCAAAACAAATTTTAAAAAAGGAGGTTTCTCTAATTGAAGTTGAACTCTTGCCCTTGGCCTGTGGACAGAAACGTCAGAAACTGCCAGGGCTGAGTGCTGACGTGCTTTGGACAGGTGACCTCTATGCCAAGTGGCTCACAGACAGAGTAGAACCACCTCTCCTGGAGGCAGAAAGCAGAGGGGGGCTGCCAGGCCTGGGGTTCTAAAGGAGTCAGGAAACATCAGAAAGATAGGCGCAGAAAAGTCATAAAGAGCCACTGTGGAAGATGACAGAACAATAACCAAAAATGGCAGAGGGAAAAGAAGGCAGCTACTGAATCTGAGGAAAGACAGTGGTGTGTTTTCTAAGTGTTTTTAGGCATCTAGACAATTATATCCACCTAAATGTCAGAAGAGAAGGCAGCACTCTTGTCTACCAGTTTTCTTCCCCTTTTCAAACAGAGGAAACCAAAGCCCATTGCCTGAGTCCGAAAGCTACATGTTGTTATTTTTAGAAACTTGAAATGCTTACGCTTTCATCAGAAATACATTTCCTCCATGCCCCCATGCTAGTACCATCTTAGTAACATTTCGATTTTGGTAACATTTCTATAATTTGACAGCTGGTCTGTAAACATTGATCTTTGAAAACTAATTGTTTTCAAAGGAGTTAGGTTGTAATTAACTTTGAGTGACTTCAAACAGAAGTACAGCAAAATTATTTCTCCAAGGTTTTGCCTGTGTTTTCCAAACTCCTGAAGCACGCAAATAAATCACAAATGAGGGACGGCGAACGCGTGCGTCCCCCCGCGCGGCAAGGCATCCCAGCGCCAAGAACGCTGGACAGAGAATGAATGACAGCCTCTGCTCAGCGCATCTGCTGGGGACCAGCTCCGCTTCCTGTGCGATTCTGAAACGTGTGATGCAAAGGCTCCCGCCCTTTTCTGGGAACACAGCCTGACCCAGCAGCCTGGCTATTAAAGCTCTCTGCCTGCTGCCGGCAGGCGCCCCACTGCTCCCCACCGTTCTCCACTGCCGAGATGAAGCTTCCTGACTGGTGCTGGCTGAGCTCAGCTGTCCTGGCTGCTTGCGGCTTGGTGGTGGTGGCAAACAACGAAACCGAGGAAATTAGGGATGGGAGGGCAAAGGACGCCTGCCCGGCGATGCTGGAGAGCAGAGGGAAATGCTCGTCCGCCGGCGAGTGTCCCTTCCAGGTGACCCTGCCCCCGCTGGCCATTCAGCTACCCCAGGAATTCGGCAGACTAGAGGAGGTGTTCAAAGAAGTCCAGACTCTCAAGGAAATCGTCGACAGCCTCAAGAAATCTTGCCAAGACTGTAAGCTGCAAGCTGATGATCACCGAGATCCAGGACATGGACTGGGGTCCCCTGGCACGGGAGCCCCGGGAGAGGCTGGGGACAGTAGAGTTGAAGAATTGGAGAACGAGGTGAGCAAGCTGTCCTCCGAACTGAAGACTGCAAAGGAGGAGCTCGACATGCTGCAAGGTCGCCTGGAGAAACTGAATCTTGTAAATATGAACAACATAGAAACTTACGTCGACAGCAAAGTGGCCAATCTCACGTCTGTGGTCAATAGTTTGGACGGCAAATGTTCATCCAAGTGTCCCAGTCACGAGCTAATCCAGTCCCAGCCAGGTATGTGTATTTGTAATCATGTTTTCTTATCGTGTTCAGGGAGGTTATATAGCTAGGGAGTGTCTATAGCGTTTCAGCCCGAGGGAATAAGTTAAATAAGTGAAGGATTAAATGCCTAAGTCTTTTGTTTCATTAAGGTAGTCCAGGAAAAACAAATATCTTCTGGAATGGGACTTCAGAAATGATACTTGATCTCTTTCCAAATCTCATCACTGGCTCTGTCACCACCAGAAAGCACTTTCAGTTTCAACATCTTATTTGCTTCAATGCCAGACTTTCTTCACACAAGCACCAGCAGCAAGAGAGAATTTCTTAATGGCTTTGTGCCTTTAGTCTATCATTTTCCTGATGTGTTTGAACACCTGAGAGAGAAGGCAAGGTTGGCAGCTGTGCTTTGTTCATTGGACATTAGTTTTTCTTGGGGTTGGCTGGCTGCCAGGTCTCATGTAGCAACAAGTGGTCTTTGAAAGATTTTTAGCAAGCAATCTGCAGTTCATAATTGAAAATATCTACTGAAAATGGGAGGTTATATAGATGAAATAAAAGCCACTTCCTGTGTGTGTGTGTGCAAAACTTTTTGCTTTGAGACTTAGTGGCACAAAAATGCTTTGAAGGAAGAATTTTTGCCATGTCACTAAGGGAAGGAATAAAACCTTTTTTTTTTCTTTGACTTTAAGCTAGTTTTCAAACATAAAGAAACAGAATCCAATCTCACTATCCGAATGACTTAACTTTAACACATACGAGAAAACACAGATCTAACTGTCTACTTTGCCCTTGAACCAATGGCTCCCCCAATTCCTAAATTCCTGGGACCACAACTCCTTGGTCATCTTACTTTGGAGAGTCACCTCTGCCTATCCATTTAAAGGGACAGAGCAGAGACTCCTTTTTATCCTGAAATACTTTGGGCATGCTCCATCCCCAGAGGATTTGCCAGAGCGGGTAGAGAGGAAGGCAGTGGTTGCAAGGACCACAGCTGCTAATACTCTTGGCAGCCTAGACGTGAATTTCACAGATTGCAAAGCAGATGTTCACGACTTCAGTGAAATCACTGAGTACACAGCTAGATATGACACTGCCTGGCAACAATTAATTTTCCTCCTAAGAGGTTTAAGGAAATATCTGAATATTCTGAGTTCTAAATGTATAGGAGTATAGAGGGCATGTTGGTATACCTGTCTATAAAACCCAGTTACTTGAAAGGCAGAGGTAGGAAGATTATGAGGCCAGCTCCAGGCAAAAGATAATAAATATAAAAATAAAGAAATAGAATAAAGAAATAATAAAAGAAAAAGAAAAAGAAAAGCAAAAGGAGTAGTTGTGTAGCTGAAGTGATCAAGTGTTACTTACTACATGCACAAGACTCTGGCTTCAATTCCCTGAGCCACAAAACAGCAGTAGAAGCATCCATATGAATATATTTTTGTACCTTAAAGTACTGTATACTAAACTCACCACATCTGCCATACAGTTTATAAAAATTATTTGGGAATAAATAGCTGCTAAACCTTGTTAATTAATGGCATCTATCTTGAACATAACCACCTGTTGTTTCTTTGTAGAAATTGAATATGTGCGATACTACATTCAGAATCATTACTTTTTAAAAAGGGCATTATTTTTTAAAAGACTGAAAAAATGAGCTTCCTTTGTATAGTTGTCAAGGAAATTAAATGTGAATTTACAATCAATGTCTACTCCAGCTTTCACGTATCCTTTGGAACATATGCTATAAAACTTCCTTCCCGTGCCTAGACTGCAGTTCTAGGAGAGTTGGGGTCATCTGAGCTTTAGGACAGAAAAGCAACGGCCATGAGAGTAAATTTTGCTTCTAGGCAGATATGAGTTTGTGCCCCACCTCTGCCATTTAATGCTGGTGTGAACTTCCGATAGCCACTGGTCCTCTTTGTGCCTAAATATCCCCATCAGCAAGCTGGCAATACTACTTGTATGAAAAGGTTGATGTGCAGATTAAATGTGACACTTTTAGCCAGTGTTTAGCAGAATGTCTAGAATGTAGCAGTACTCATTACATGTTACTTTTACATATTTGTTTTTAGAGTTAGTTGCTCATTATTCATGTTATCATGCTTATTGCCAAGCAAAGGGATGTTAGTCTTGTCTATCAAACCGAGTTCTTGTTCTGTGTCCTTAAAAATCACTTGCTGCCCAGATTCAGGTGAATTTAGCAGAGGAAGGTTATTGTCATTAATGATCAGACTGCATTTGTGTAAAGAGTTTTCCAGATGCATACTTTCATTAACAAAATCCCATGGCTTTCTTTTCTTCTTCCTTCAGTTCAACATCTAATATATAAAGATTGTTCTGACTACTACGTAATAGGCAAAAGAAGCAGTGAGACCTACAGAGTTACCCCAGATCCCAAAAACCGCAGCTTTGAGGTGTACTGTGACATGGAGACTATGGGGGGAGGCTGGACCGTGCTGCAGGCTCGACTTGACGGTAGCACCAATTTCACCAGAACATGGGAAGACTACAAAGCAGGCTTTGGAAACCTCCGGCGAGAGTTTTGGCTAGGAAATGATAAAATTCATCTTCTGACCAAGAGCAAGGAAATGATCTTGAGAATCGATCTTGAAGACTTTAATGGTGTCAAACTGTATGCCCTCTATGATCAGTTTTACGTGGCTAATGAGTTTCTCAAATACCGTTTACACATTGGCAACTACAATGGCACAGCTGGGGATGCTTTACGTTTCAATAAGCATTACAACCATGATCTGAAGTTTTTCACCACCCCAGATAGAGACAATGATCGCTATCCCTCTGGCAACTGTGGGCACTACTACAGTTCAGGGTGGTGGTTTGATGCATGCCTTTCTGCAAACTTAAATGGCAAGTATTACCACCAAAAGTACAAAGGTGTCCGTAATGGGATTTTCTGGGGCACTTGGCCTGGTATGAATGAGGCACAGCCTACTGGCTACAAGTCCTCTTTCAAAGAGGCCAAAATGATGATCAGACCCAAGCACTTTAAGCCATAAATCACAAGTTCTCATCTCTCCAGGCATTTATTATCAATAGGGCAACAGATTCCTCATCACTTTGGAATATGCTTTATTTCCTATTTCCTTTCTATGACTAAAAATTGTCTCGGAGTAGCAGACTCTTATGCTACACAGCTTTTGAAAAATGTGCATTTAAAAAGACTCCTTGGGGGCTGGGAAGGTGGCTCAGTGGTAGAGCGCTTGCCTTGCATGCATGAGGCCCTGGGTTCGATTCCTCAGCACCTCATAAGCAGAAAAAAAAAAAAAAAGCTGGAAGTGGCACTGTGGCTCAAGTGGTAGAGCACTAGCCTTGAGCTGAAGAGCTGAGGGACAGCGCCCAGGCCTAGAGTTCAGGCCCCACGACCAGACCAAAAAAACAAACAAACAAAAAAAAACAAAAAAAGATACCTTGGAAGCTATTATCCAATGCATGCATGAAAGCATTGAGAATTATTCATTTTATTTGTAAATCCTTTTAATTTCTATTAATTGAGTTCATTAGTATGTGTACTACTTTCTAAAATTAAAAAAATGTTTATTCAGTAAGATAGATTCTCAGAAGCAACTGCTACTATGATGTGTCTAGACAAGCACATTTGAAAAGATACTTTTATTCTATAAATTATTTGCATATCTATCTCTAAATATGAAGATTACTTCATTCTGAGATAAACTTACTCAACCATTTGCATTTACTTTGTATCAAGAAAATATTACAGCATTTTAGTTCCCAAACAATGGAAAATATGCATGATTAACCTATTTGTAGAATATTCATTGAATGTAGAATTTGTCATTAAACTTGGGCATGGTGGTACATGCCTATAATTCAGCAATAGGGAGGCTGAGGCAAGAGGATTGTGAGTTTGAGGTCAGTCTGAGCTACACAGTGAGCTCTTCTCTCAAAAAACAAAAAACAAAACCAAGGTATAACATACCTCAAAATGTGATAGCCTAATGTCACCCTCCAAACACTTAGAAAACAATGGAATTCACTTGCAGTGTGTAACTTGTTAAATGCCGGATAGCAAAAGTATAAAGGTTGCTCAGTATTGTGCTAGACTACTGATAGACTTTCTTTAAGGGGGTATAGGAATGTGAAAGAGGAACCATTTATGTACACTTTGAAAGCCATTTTTTAAAATCTAAAGCAATGATATTGTTGAGTAATACAGTCAACAACTTAGCTTCATAAGCACTTATGTTTTCTAGAATGAATAAATTTATTTATTAAAAACATGAATTTTGAAATATATATTAAACATTTAACCCTAACTAGTGGATCGCTTATCTTGCTATCATAAATTCAAAAGTATGTGTTTATTTTTTAAGAGTGTGCCCATTGATTTTAATAGGTTCTAGGTATAATTTGTGGGGAAGTTAACAAATAAACATCTATGAAAATACTCTGCATGTTATTTTAAAGGATCACAATTTTTATACTTTTATGACATTTTTCTACTAAATTCTTTAACACACAAATTTCTTTTTGGAATAATTTCATGTCATTCACTATAAAATATTGTAAGTTGATCATCTTTAACATGTTGATGGAAATAGATTATACCTGATACTCCTTTACCTTAACATGATGATCCAGTAATATATGCTACTGTTAATAAATGTAGACTATTTACAAATGTATTTTTAAAGTATTGTGTTGGTTCCATTTTGATAGTTAACATTTATCATAATATTTAGTTTCTGAATATTATCATTCTTGTAAAATGATGACTGAAATTAGTCTTTAGAAATTTGGAGTTGGGTTGATTACCCAGTGTGAGGAAATCAAATTTCACTGACAAACAGTAAAGCTAAATAAATGTCACATCCATTCAATAAGTAGTTTAAATATATAAGAATTATCTGAGCAACAAAATTTGCTGGTCCTTATTTCTGAATAGCTGTCCAAGGAAAGATTTTAAAGGTAAAAGAGATGACTGATTATAATTAGCTCTTATTTGAAATCTTTTATGTGTAATTAGGATTATGCCTTGTGCCTTTTAAAAGCCTTATAAAAGATTTACTTCTCATATCCATTTATTCTTCAAGGTGGAAAGCATCAGTTATTATTTGTAAAACAGTATTTATGTGCTCTGTGTGAAAAGTTAGGAGTATTGTTTTCTTAATAGGAAGATAGAAGCAAATAGAAAGATACCATTATCCTATTTCCTTCTGGAAATACTGTTGACACATTTGCAATATAAAAATTTCCATTTCCTTCTGCAACATTCAACTCCACCTCCTCTTGCTCTATTGTTAATGCTGCTGATCAAGTCAACTCCCTTAGCATAACAAAACGCTTCCTAATATTAGCCAGTACCTCTACTTTCAGTCTCTCCCAGTTCAACTTCCACATCACTGCTAGAGGGATTATTTAGAAACACAACTCTGATCTTGTACTGTACTGTTTCAAACTTTCAACACTCTCCACTTCCTATAAGATAAACTCCAGAAAATAAGCCTCTTCCTGAACCTGATTTCTGTCCACCCTTTCAGTGTCATTTTCTGCCATTACTCACTTGTGTCATACTGTGCTCAAACAAACCATATTCTCTCATTTCCTGATTTTGCACAGATTATTGCCTTGATCTAGATAGGATATATTCCTCTACCTCTTTTGGGAGTTGGCCAAGGACAGGGACTCAGGAGACAGAGTTCCCAGGTTTGAATTGCAACTACATCATTGGCAAACCATGTGATCATGGTCAAGTAATTTAATGTTTCCTTCCACTATGAATGGGGATAGTCTACTAGTCTGTCTGATAAACTCTTATTGGGATGATCAAATGAAGTAATATATGTAGAGCCCTTACATAATGTTTTAATTAATTATCATCATCAAACTGAATAGTTCTCTCTTCCGGGCATCTGTGCCTTTCTTCTTTGATATCATAACATCCTATACATTTCAATAATTTATATTTTTTACTAATTATATATTCAATAATTTTCTCCATTCTACCCTGAAATCAGTGTTTAAATAGGAGAAAAGAAATGTTGAGGCAGCAGTGGTAAACAATATATTAGCATTGAGGAAAAGCTATGTTTAAAGAAGCTGAGATTGTAATTGAGAGAATGGGTGATGTCAAATCTGAGATTTGAGAGACTGATTACAGGTGAGATATTATTGAAAGCCAGGGGAAAATACATCCAGGGTAATTATACACACTACAGGAGTAGGACATAGTCACGGTCCTAGGAAACGGTGCTGGTGGCTCAAGCTTGCAATCCTAGCTACTCAGGAGGCTGAGATCTGAGGATCGCAGTTCAAAGCCAAACCAGGTAGGAAAAGCTGTGAAACTCTTATCTCCAATAAACCACCAGAAAATGGGAAGTGGTGCTGTGGCTCAAGTGGTAGAGCACTAGCCTTGAGCTGAAGAGCTCGGGAACAATGCTCAGGCCACAGTTCAAGCCCCATGGCTGACAAAAAAAAAAAAAAGATGGGTCCTAGGAATGGGCCTCTGGATCCACAGCTACAGGAGAAGCTTGGCTATTATGTCCTAGGCTGAATGGTGAGTGTTTACTAGACTGAATTCCTAAGGAAAAACCTTCAATGTTGCTCATACTACCCAGAGTTTAGTGTAATTCTGAAGTGAATTTTAGTCATATAAAATTCATGGATCTTTCTTAAAATTACCACTTAGAGTAACAACTCCATCTGTACATGCCAATCTCCTCCCTCTCCCAAGAGGTAACAAGCAGAGGTAGATGAGTCCAAACCACAGTTTCGTTCTGTGCATTGCCAAGTTGCGACATCTTCTCAGTCACAGCCTTGCCAGCTCTCTTTTGTTTACTGACTAGAAAGAGCTAGAAATAAGGGGAAAGGGTGCATTGTAGAAGACTCAGAATACCCAGACTCCCCATCATGAATGTACCTCACTATGTTTGCTGAGGCTCTCTGATTGCTGCAAGACAATGTTGCTTTCTTTCCCAAGGGAATGGGCTTAATTCTCCTCTAGGCTTCTTCATCCCACTTGATATTCTCTCTAGATTGATAACAGGTCATGTCCTCATATCAAGTAGAAACTCAAATAAGAGAGGAAGACTGCACAAATTTGCTTGTTTTTACCAAGAAAGACAGGTGTAGACAGATTTTGAGATTACTTAATTCAGTGATATAGGTATGCTGATCAGAAATTACAGATTCAACTGTGTAGCTTAAGGAGATGTGTGTGTGTATGTGTTTCAAATATTTTTCTTAGTTGACACAAACCCCAATTCAACAACAGCTCAGACTAACTCAAGTTGAGAAGCCATAAATGTCTTAAAACTCAGAGACTGATATGCATGGTGGGACATGCATGCATTACTAGCTGCCTGGGTGGCAAAGATGGGAGCACAGCAAGGTGTAGGCTGGCTCTGGGGCTCGTAGGAGAGACCCCGTCTCCAGAACAAAATGAAACAAAAGGAACGGGAACATAGCTCAAGTGGTACAGCCCTTCTCTACCATTCATGCATGAGATCCTGAGTTCAATACACACCAATGGAAAAAAATCCAATGACAAAACCCCCAAACCTCAAATACCTATGGAGATAGGAAGTTTGGGGGAAGAGTTAGCCTTAATTAAACAAATATTTGCTGAATGCAGGCCATGTTCCGGGAAGCCTTCTAGGAGTTAGTGACCAACACAGAAAAAAAAAAAATACAACACTCACAGTGTTTACATATTATCAGATGCGACAAATGCATGATGGGAAAATAAATACATATAGGAGTGTTAGAGAAGGGGGATCTAGCTATATACAGTAGGCAGGGGAGACCTCTCTGCGCAGGTGAAATCTGACCTATAGAAAGGGGTGAAGACATCTGGAGAGTAGGTGGCATGTTGATGGGAGAAGAGGAGAGATCAGAGGGCATGGAGGCTAGGGATGAATAAGACCAGAGTGGCAGATCATCAGCTTTATAAGCTAGGAAAAGAATTTGCCTTTTACTCTGAATAGATAAGAGCCTTGAGAGTTTGAGGAAGGAAGCACATGATTTCATCCACTTTAAGAGG